GTTGTCTGATTCAAAATGGCCAAAACCAGTCCCTTTCAGCTCACTAATGCCGAGGATATCAATCTTTATGCGTTCCATTTCGTTTTTGACAGTTTCCAATTTTCCTACATTCATACTTTGTACATTCCATGTTCCGATGATTAATGAATGTCTGTAGCTCTTTCTCTTCAATTTGACTGGTGCCACATCAGCAAATGGAGGTCTCTAAAGCTTTCCCTTATCCATAGAAGTAAGGCTGGGTTTATTCAGATGATGCAGCTCTTTCCCAGTCCTATTTTGAGAGCCTTCTAACCTAACCCGACTAGTCATAAATTTGCGCAGTAATGTATCAAACAGTGTTTCTTTGCAATTCATAAGGTTTTCCTTGGCCAATTATTTGAGAAGTGGACGGCCTCTTCCTTCTTCCTAGTCTGTCTCAGTGTGTAAACTGCAATGATACCTGTGCACCATGTGCATCCCGCTGGGTTAGAAACACCAGTAGCTCAGCCTCAAAACTCACATCAACACGTCACCACAGTAGGACAAACCGACAGACAAGTTTGCCTTCCTGTTGGAAACCTCTCATACCACCCTTACCTGGGTCCCTAAGGCTGACTCCTCCTCTGTCTAGATTCCTAGGCCTTTAAATAGTCTTTCTCCTGCTTTCCCACCCTGCTGCTTTGGGTATGGCTGAGTTCCTCTCTTCACCTGGATCCCTGCAACTGACTGCTCCTCTGTCCGAGTTCCTGGCTTTTAATCACCTTTTTCCTGCTCTCCCTCACTGCTGCTTTGGGCATGCCTGAGTTCCCTCTCCTCACCTGGATCCCTGTGGCTGACTGCTCCTCTGTCCGGGTTCCTGGCTTTTTCATCCCCTTTTTCCTTCTCTCCTGCCCTGCTGCCTTGGGGATGCCTGATTTCCCTCTCATTACCTGGATCCTTGCAGCTGACAGTTTGGTGTTCAAAGTGGCATTCAGCCACCTGAGATTGAGCAATAACAGGTCTGTGATGCCCTTAGACAGGATTGACAGATTGCTAGCTCTTTCTCGATTCTGTGGGTGGTAGTGCATGGCTGTTCTTAGTTAGTAGAGCGATTTGTCTGGTTAATTCCAATAATGAATGAGTGTTCTCTAGGACTCTAGACCAGCATCTAATATATGGTGCTGCTTCTGCCATAGCCAGGACTCATGGGTCCAGAAATCAAGGGTGGAAATGAGAGTGGCACCACTATTACTCCTAGTGACCCATTCACAAAATTTTTGCTTCCTGCCTCTGTGACCCTATGCTCTGTGGGTCTGGAGGTCTTAGTTCCAAAGGGAGGAATAATTCCACCAGGTGACACAATGCTGATTCTATTGAACTGGAAGTTAAGAATCCCAAGTGGCCATTTTGGGCCTGGATCAAAGGCAAAGAAGGGAGTTACTATATTGTATAGTGTCATTGATCCTGATTACCAAGGGGGAATCGTATTGATATTACAAAATGGAGATAAAGAAGAGTACGTGTGGAATACAGGAGATCTCTTAGTATGTCTCTTAGTAGTACGATGCCCTGTGGTTCTAGTTAATGGAAAACTACAGGAACCCAATTCTGACATCACTACTAATGTCTCAGACCCTTCAGGAATGAAGGTTTTGATCACCCCACCAGTCAAAGGATAATGATCAGCTAAAGTGCTTACTGAGGGCAATAGGGAATGGGTGGTGGAAGAAGGTAGTTCTTCCAGCTACAACACATGACCAGTGACAGAAACACTGCCTGAAAAGTATAAATGTTTTAGAAGTGAATATAGAAGAATATATCCATGAGTTTAAGATACAAAAATAATTTATAAAACATGACATGAAAAGCACTAACTACAAAGGAAAAGATTAATAAATTTTGATACGTTGAAATTAAGAATGTCTTTTTATCAAAAGACACCACAAAGAAAGTGAAGGAGTAGATTGGAAGACCTATCTGTCTCCTTCACTTGCAAGCCAGAGTGTAAAAAGTTACTTGCAACATAGAAAAAATAAAATTCTTATCCAATGTCAATTCCCCCCTGCAAAAAAGGGTAAAAAATGAGCATTACACAAAAGAAGAGCAAATTGAGAATAAACAAGTGAAAAAGTACTGCACTTCATTAGTAATCAAAGAAATGGAAATTAAAATGACAATGAGATACAACACCCACCCACCAGATTTTCAACAACTAAAATTTTCAGCAGTACATAGGCTAATTAGAAGTGAAACAAGAAATTTTTATACACTGTGTCAAGTTCACCACTTTGGAATACAACTTTGGTTTACCTAAAACCAAACCAAACTCACTGCCTTGTTAAAAATATGCAAAATCTGCATGTAAATTCTAGAGATACTCATACACATATGCACTACATTAATATATAAGAATGGTTATGGCAACAGCTTTATTCATGACAGCAAAAAATATTGAAAACACTCAAATGTTTTTCAACAGTGGAATGGATAAATACATATGGCAATGAAAATGAATGAACTAGAGCTACACGCAACAAATGAACAGGCCTTAAAAAACATAATATTGAGGAAAAAAGTAAGTTAAAAAATACAAACAATATGAGTTTATTTGCATAAAGTTAAAAGGCAAAACTGACTTCTTTTAAAGAGTTTGTTGTATAAGGAAATAAAATTTAAAATAAAAGCAAGGAAGTGATAAAGTCTGGAGGGTAGCTACCTCTGTGAAGGAGAGGTGATGGTCAAGGGAAACGTGGACTATTCAAATATGGACAAATGTTCAAATAGAGCCTAAGTGGTGATTACGTGAGTGCTTGCCTGGTAATAATTTATTGTACTGTACATTTGTATTTTATGTGCTTTACTTTATTTTGCTATAGTTCATAATTTAAAAAAAACTTTTTAAAAAAAAATAAATTAAAAGAATGAGACAGTTTTCTATATATTGATATTGAACAGTTCTCGAGATATATAATGTAAAGTGGAAAAATAGTGTGCCGAATAGTGTATAAAAATTGCTACCATTTATGATTAAAAATTTTAAAAAGGAACGTGTTGACTTGTAGAATAGGGTAGCCCAGACATCAGAACAATGGTTTTCTCTTGGCAGGAGAAATAGGTGGCCAAGGAACAGAGTTAGAAGAGTGACTATGCAACGTATACCCTTTTGTGTCTTTTGAATTTCGTCCCATGTAAATGAATTTACCAGTTGGCCCCACCAGTGTCAGAGCAGAACTGTGCTCCATCAAGTTATCAGTGGCTGATTTTCCCTAAGTAGGTCGCCAGATCTTTCTTCCGAGGCACTTTTAGGTGGACTCAAATCTCAGACTCTTTGGTTAGCAGCCAAGTGCGTTAACATATTCAAAAGATAAACAAAAATAGTTAACAAAGTTTTCTAGCCACTCTAACCATACTTATCCACAAGGGGTCACTAGTGAACAATGTTTAACACTAGTGCTTCAGCGCAGAAAACCTGTCTGAATTCTTTGTGCTCTCTAAAAGATAGAGTCTTCATTTGCATTCTTATTTTATTGTACACTTTATCATGTCCCAAGGAACCCTGGTGGTGCAGCGGCTAAGGCATTCAACTGCTACCCAAAAGGTCGGCGATTCGAACCCACTAGCGGCTCCAAAGGAGAAAAATGAAGTAGAATGCTTCCCAGGATTTACCACCTTAGAAACCCTATGGACAGATCTACTCTGTCCTACAGGGTCGCTGGAAGAAGGAATGACTTGATTCGGTGGGTTTATTGTGTTCTGGTGGGGGTGGGGTGGGGGGAGTTATTCACAAATACGGGGAAAATAATAACAATAATAATCAACATTTAAAGTGAATTAAAGAAGAAAAAAAAAAAAAGAAAAGAAAGAAAGTAGATTAGATAACGTGAAGCTAGGAAAATATACACAAGCTCAGTGTTTTTAGTAGTGATGCACAAATTAGATTCTAAGTTTTCCAACTCTTCTTCCACTCTGACTTGCCTTTTTGCTTTCTTAGTAGTCTCTTTTGATATGGCTGTTGGTGGTGGTGTCCAGTGTCACCCGGCGCCCACCGTCCCCGCAGCCCGCCCAGAGAGAGGACCCGGCTTGTCCGGCGTCTGTCCACAGCGCCTCCTTTTCGCCTTCCGGCACGGAGCTCCTCCAGCACCATCCAGCCCTTGCTCGGCCGCTTTCTTCCCACCAGCGACCTCGCGTCGTCCCGCGGTCACACCGCGCCCTCGGTGGCTGGACCGAAACGTTGCGGACCAACGGGTGAAGGATTCTCGCGTCCGACGGGCTGCCGTCCCTGGTGGGGCCCAGTAGTCGCCGGAGCCACCTCATTCGGAGTGGCCCGCAGAAAGTGCCCTGGTGCACCCCTTATGGAGCCTGGACCATCAGAGGCACCGCCAGAAAATGTTTTGAAAAGTTGTTAATGCGAAAAGGATGAAGGGACAGTCTATAATTGAGAAGTAGATATAAAATGCTTTGGAATGTCACACAAAGGAGTTTCATTCATAATTATGAATAAAGATAAAACTAAGAATGCATGCCCTAGAAAAAGGAGAACAAACAAACACAAAGCTGTGTTTAAATATTTCTGTGTCTTACACATAAGATAGTGTCCTCAATTAGCTGACTTTTTCAATATTTGGTTACTGCAATAAACTATCTTTTTCTTAAGCTGAATTGATTCTGCTTTAGGCTACTAAAGGGTTAAATGCTATTCTCTAAACTCAAGGGAAATTAACCTTGACCAAACTCTGCCTCCTTCATTTGCAAATACATGAGGCTCTGAGCTGTACAAAGATTAGGAGAAGTCAGTGAGCAGATGAGAGTTCCATAGGCGATAGAAGCAGTAACATTTATGAAAAACACTTCTGCAGTTATGGATTCATCTGACGTTCAAAGGAAAAAAATAGCTGTCATTGGTGGTGGCTTGGTAAGAATCTATTGAGACATATTATTATCAGGAGTCACATTATATTAATTATCCTTACTCTTAATGACCATGATTAATCACTTGTACAGATTGTTGATTTTCTTGTGAAAACTTTTCTGATATTTAAATATAGTATTTTAGTTTGTTCTTAGCCATTAAACATGGAGCTCTGGCGGTACGGTGGTTAAAGTATAAGGCTGCTAACCCAAAAGGTAGGTGATTGGAGTCTACACACTGCTCTGCAAGAGAAAGATGAAATGGTCTGCTTCCATAAAGATTAGAAACTCTATGGAGTCTTGGAAACTCTGCGTCGCTGGACTCTGAGTCTAAATCGGCTGGATGGATGGCAGTGTATTTGCTTTGGTTTTGGTTTATCCATTGAGTACAAAGGTATCTGTTTTCCTTATCATTCGGGTTTAGCATTTCTTAAAAACAGAAAGTTTAGCAAATTGAACTTGATTTTTATCTTCAAATTGGATATTTAATTTTAAAACAAATAACAGATATTAGTCTAGTCATTTAAATAAAAACATTTTTCCCTTCCCTTGGTTAAAATAGCTTAGTTGGATGGTATAAATCCAGTAAGAATAAAAGAGTCAAGAAACATAAAGCTAAAGCTAAATTATGACATTAGATATTCACTTATTATTTGAGGAGTTGAGAATAATACTGATTTGGTCTTGTGACTTATTTGGCTGTTCTAATGGGCTCAAACTTAGCAACTATTGTGAGTATAGTGGAGGACCCGGCAATGTTCTGTTCTGTTGTAAATAGGGTCACTGTGAGTCAGAACAGACTAAAGGGCACTTAACAGCAACAGAAGCAATGAGCTGGGGAAGTGGCAGAGTGAGAACTCACCTCTCTATAGGGAAAGAAGAGCTAGCATGCTGGGGTGTGCCCTACACACCCAGCAAGGTGTAGGAAGGGATCACTTCTCTGCCTCCTACTTTAGGATGACCGAGCTAGTTCTAGTTAGCATGGAGCTATCTCAGGAGCTCTGGTAGCATAGTGCCTAAGACACTTGACTGCTAACCAGAAGGCTGGCGGTTCAAACCCACCAGCCACTCCTCGGAAGGAAGGTTGGGCAATCCTACTTCTGTAGTGATACTGCCTTGGAAACCCAAGGAGGGGTCACTATGAGTCGGGTCCGACTCGACGGCACATAACAACAACAACAACATCACAAGTGAACTAACTGTATTTTGCCTCTCTCAACAGAACTCCTAGTTAAAACTTAATCTTTTTTTTTATCTTTGATGCAATCATTTGCAGACTTTCAGCTCATATGTATTCATTCATTCATCCACTTATTTATTTACTCAACAGATATTTTTTGAGGGTCTAGTATGTTACAGACACTGTTCTAGGCTATATGTAGATTAGTAGTTTACACCACAGATGTATTTATATAGTGAGTGCTAATTTTGTCTTTTGGTCTGCTTCCCTTCCTGTCTCTTCCCCAGAATACTATGACAGCTCCTTTAGCATTTCTGATTCTAAGTTTCAAATGCTGAGGAATGATTGATATGCCTTGTTTGTCACTCGATGTGACATAAGCTGACATTTCTTCATATTGGGCTTCCATCCAATTCTTGCCTATCAAAATTTTGCACAAAATGGGAATGCATGCAGTCAACAAAATCTTACTGAGTACCTGCTATGTGTTACAACATTGTTGTAGGCAACAGGGATACAGTGGTGAGCATTTTAGAGAGGAGAAAGGCAACAAAAAAGAAATCAAATAAATAAGATGATGATTTCAGTTAAGGATGAGCACTGATGAAAGAAATGCAAACAGGGGAATGCTGCAGAGAGTGTCTTGGGGGGTGACAGTTTAGAGAGTATGGTCAAGAATGTCCTCTATCTGAGGACCTCAGACCTGGATAATGAAAAGGAATCAACCATGTAAAGATCTAGGGAAAGGACATTTCAGGCAGAGGGAACAGCAAAAAGAGAAACCCTGTGGTAATACTAAGCTTGAGACGTTCAAGAAGCAGAAAATATGGGAGGAGCAGAATGAGGCCAGAGAAGAATAGTAGGAAATGAGGCTAGAGAGACTAGCCTAGCCAGATCTCAGAGGTTTTTAGAGGGCAAGGCAAGGAGATAGGATTATATTCTAAGTTCAATGGAAAGCCATTGAAGGATTCTAGGTAGTTAGATTGCTGCTAATTTTAGGTATCATTGAGTTAACTCTGACTTTTAGGGACCTTATGAACAACAAACAAAACAGCATTATCCTTACATCATTGATATGTTTGAACCCATTGTTCCACCACTGTGACAATCCGTCTCATTGAGGGTCTTCCTCTTTATCATTGACCCTCTACTTTATCAAGCATTATGTGCTTCTCGCTCCTGATGATGTCCAAAGTAAATGAGATGAAGTTTTTTTATCATTGTGATTTTAAATGATCCTTCAGACTAATATGTGGAGAACGATGACAAAAAAAAAAAAAAAAAAAATCTCACTGCTGTCGAGTTGGATCTGACTCATACCGACTACTTCTTGGGTTTCTGAGGCAGTATCTCTATGGAAGTAGATTGCCCAGTCTTCCTTCTGAGCAGTGGCTGGTGGATTTGAATCTCCAACCTGCTGATTAGTGGTCAAATGCTTTAGGCACTATCTCACCAGAGCTCCTGTTGAATGACTGTTGTTGTTGTTGTTATTTGCCGTCGAGTCGGCCCCGACTCATAGCGACCCCTCCTTGGGTTTTTGAGGCAGTATCACAACGGAAGTAGGATTGCCCAACCTTCCTTCCGAGGAGTGGCTGGTGGGTTTGAACCGCCAGCCTTCTGGTTAGCAGTCAAGTGCCTTAGCCACTATGCTACCAGAGCTCCCATGACTAGGAGACTATAAAAAGTCAAGACAGTCCAATCAAGGGCTGATATGTTAGTCTAAGACTTGTACTAGGGTCGTAGCTGTGAAGAAAAGTGGATGGCTTCTGGCTAAGTTTTGGACCATTGAAAGGCAGTGCTTGATCATGGATTGGGTGGAGTGGGGAAGAAGTTACTAGGTTTTTAGCTTGAGCAGCCATGTAGATTGAGATACCAGTTACTAATATGGGGATCACTGGCGATGGAATGGTTTTGGGCCAGGAGTAGATTAAATAACTATGTTTAAATATGTTAAGTCTAAAGTGTGTCATACAAATCCAAATGGAAATGTCAAATATATAATTGGGTATATGATTTTGGAAGACATAAAAATCAGGGCACATTCATGTATTTCTCCCTGAATCACATTTGAATTCTTCATCACATAATTGCTTCATTATTTGTGCACACACACACATGCTACAAAATAGAAAATAAATTGAAAATCAAAGGTGTCACTTTGATGACTAAGGTACACCTGACCCAAGCCATGATGTTTTCAATTGCCTCATATGCCTGTGAAGGCCAGACAATGAAAAAGGAAGACAGAAGAAGACTTGATATATTTGAATTGTGGTGTTGTCAAAGAATGCTGAATATATTATGGGTTGTCAGAAAAATGAACAATTGAATCTTAGAAGAAATACAACCAGAATGCTCCTTAGAGGCAAGATGGAGAGACTTCAGCACTCTTACTCTGGACATGTCATCAGGAAAGATCAATTGTTAGAAAAAGACATTTTTGGTAAAGTAGAGGGGCAGTGAAAATGAGAGAAAGCTCAAGCAGTTGAACTGACACAATAGCCACAACAATGGTCTCAAACTTACTGATGATCATGAAGAGGGTGCAGGGCCTTCTGTTAACAGAAGGTCATCATGTGTTGGAACTGAGATGACAGCAAATGACAACAAAAGAAAGCAACTAGGCTGAGAGTTCCTCTGCAGAGGAATTCTGTCTACCCTATTGTTCAGGCTCGTGCCCAGGAATCATATTTGATTCCTCTTTTCATGTTACATAAACCTCAGTTCACCTTGGACTCCACTAGTAGGACTTGGTGGTTCTATATCCAAAACATATTCCAAATCAAAAACCTCCTAAACTAGTCTTCCAGCTTCTACTCTTACCTCATTACAATCCATTCTCTAAACAACCACATCATCCTTTTAAAACATAACTCTGATAACACCACTACCTGCTTAAAGCCTTACAATGGTTTCTGTGGTAATTATGTTTTTGTGTCAACTTGGTTGGGCCTGGTTGAGTGGTTGGGCAGCTGATGGTAGTTATTCCCCATGGTAAGACTGGCAATCAACTCCATGGTGGGAATCTACCACAGGCAGCTGAATAGCTAGCTGCCTTTGGGATGTGGTCTGCTTCCTGTGTATAAGGAAAAGCCTTGGGAATGGTCTCTAGCATATGGCACACTTGGACCCTGCATGTAGCCGTGTCGTTGTTCAGCAGCTTGCCATGCTCTGGCGACCTTGGGACTTTCAATGGACCAGAATTAATGGCCTGCCGTGTGGTTTGGTGACATCGAGACTGCCTTTTTTACTTATCAACCTTGGGCTTGGCAGCCTCAGCAGCCAGCAGCTGTCTCAGTGAAGAAAAGCCTCTAGCTTTAATGGATTGGGAGCTGGAGGCAGAGCTGAAACCCAAGGCTGAGGGGCTTTCACCCAGCCCCTAGAGCCTGGCACTTTGAATGTGCACTTCTACCTTCCTGAACAGTAAGAGAATAAACTCCTGTTTGTTAAGGCCATCCCATTTGTGGTATATTCCTGTCAGAGAGGCACTAGGTAACCAGAACAATTTCCTATTAAAAATAGAATAAAATGCAAACTCTTTACCAAAGATCCCATATAAATGGATCTCTTATCTACGTTCTCTATAAAAAAAAAAACCAACTCTGGTGACATAGTGCCTAAGGCATCTTACTACTAACTAGAAGGCTCGCAGTTCAAACCACTAGCCACTCCTTGGAAAGAAGGTTGGGCAATCTACTTCCATGGAGATACCACCTCTGAAATTACACACTTCATTTGTTTGCATACCTGTTTAGTAATTCTATGCCAATTAGAATATAAACTCTTATTTATCGATGTATTCCAGTGGCCAGAATTATGCCAGA